ACTAGTTTTACTGTAATTCCCTCGAGTCGATCATTATTTAATTCTTTAATTTCGTGATACCAGCTTTGATTTAATTCAAAAACTTCTTAATTTCTGTTCAAGTATGACGGAAGTTCGAAGAAATATACCTCCTTTTAACTGTTACTTCTAGTTGATATGTATGAAAAATTGAATCATCATAAGATTTCCCATCGGATTCACAGCATATAAAATTTAATTTCCAAAAAAAAAAACCATCAAATAGCTTAAAGAAATTTCCTAGAGCTTAGTCGTTTATATCGGGTTAGCTTAATACTCCGTCTCAATAAATTTTTTTGTCTTTTTAAATGTTGCCGCGGATTATTACTGCGCCGTTAAACATCAGTTACTGCGCCTGCAGATCGCGCTGGGATCGACATCATATAATGAAATGCCAACGGAAAATCTCTCGTCTCGATTTCTCATAACTTTTGAAATAAATAGATCAAAATAATTTTAACCCTTGGGATACATTATTAATTATATTTTATTTCTGTCCGTTAGGTCAATAATGTTTTAAATCCCGTCACTTCAAATCCTTCATTTTTCCAGTATTCTAATCTTTTTTCATATTTAGTTTCAAAATTTAATAAATTTAAATGTTTCAACAAGTCAAAACAGGTTTATTTTTTATTCTTTTCTTGAAAAAATTAAAAACGTCATGTATTTGAGAATTGTTTCATTATTTTATTTTAGTTGTATCGTATGTTGCTGGAACATCAACGCTTCGTCAATACGAAATTGCTGAGCAGGTTGCCAGTGCAGGTTTATGGAAGATTTTTGCGGGTATGTATAATAATTTATTGATTTCCTTTAAATAATTGTTGAATTGTATTAATTTATTAAAAAATATTAATTATATTAGGTACTAAAAAAACGACGGGACAAAAAGTAGCCATATTTGTGGGTATTGAAGAATAGAACTTGAAACTTTTTCAAAATCAGATATCTAATCAAGTAATTTTTTTGATAATGCTTATTTTAGACATTTGAAAAAAAGATTATAGACAATCCTCTAAGGAAGAGTTATGATAAAAAGGAGACTGAAAAGGTTTACGCGGTTTTGAAAAGAGAGGTATTGGAGGAACACGTGGTTTTATATTATTATCTCATTTTTCGATTTATATTCATGTATATTGTTACTTACTTAATTTTTGATTTTAGGCTAGTCAATTGGCGCGACTTCGCCATCCGTCATTATTAGAAGTTGTTGAAGCTGTTGAGGAATCAAGAACAGTTATTACATTTGCAACTGAACCTATTTTATGTTCTCTTTCTAATTTACTTGGGAATTATGATAATTTATCTCCTGTTTCAGATGATATTAAAAATTTTGACATGGATGAACTAGAGGTATTTAATGTTAAATAAATAAATAAATATATGTATATAAATAAACATTTATTTTTATTTATATGTTATTATATACTTCATTTAAATAGATTCAGAAAGGGCTGCTTCAAGTTGGAAAAGGTTTGCAATTTTGTCATAATGATGCCAAAATTGTTCATTCAAACCTGGTACCAGAAGCAATATTCGTAAACACAAAGGTATGAATTTTATTCCTTTTCATTTTAAAGATAATAATTAATATATTTTTTATTTGATAGGGAGACTGGAAAATTGGAGGGTATATTTAAGTTATTAAAGCTAGGTTTAGTTTATTGGAAGATTCGGGATTTAATTGCCTTTGTGAAATATATGTAGGTTTGGATTTAGTACTTTTCTTACTAATCCTGATGCCTCCGTACCTTACGAATACCCAGATTATGATGTGCGAATACCAAGTTATGCGCAAAAAAATCTTGATTATATGGGTATATAGTTTTTCAAAAATTTTCATATCGATCTCTTTTTAATTTTTTTAAAAAAGCATACTTATCGGTTTCATTATTATTGAATCATAGCACCGGAATATGTGTTGGATGAGAATCTTGATTTTGCGAACGATATGTTTGCTCTTGGTTGTTTAATATATACGGTGCATAATCATGGCAAACCTCCAATACAAAACCATAATAGCATTCACACATATCGAAAAAATATAGAAAATTTGTCATCGATTAGTTACGAACATCTTCCCTATCATCTTCATGGTAATTATTATTTTTATTTTTTTCTTTTTTTTAAAAAAAAAAAAAAATTTCAAATTATCTAATATTTTTATTGCTAGAGGTTATGTTTAATCTCATTACGCGGTACCCGTCCCAGAGAATGACAGCAGTTGAATTTCAGACGAGCAAATATTTTGATAATGTTCTAGTTTCAACCGTGAAATTCTTCGAAAGTTTTCCCGAGAAAACCGCAGATGATAAGGCAAATTTTATGAAAGGTTTAATTCGAATTTTGCCACAATTTCCTGAAAGGGTGTTGGTTCGCAAGGTAAATATTCCAAAATATTTTTATTTTTGTCAATCAGTTAGGATAAGATGATAATTTTGGATCGATAATTTATTTAAATGTAATAGATTTTGCCTTCTCTTCTTCAAGAGTTAAAGGATCATTCACTTTTAGCCTATACACTTCCTAATATTTTCTTTATAGCGCAAAAATTACCACCTAATGATTTTTGTGACAGAGTTCTTAAACCTATTAAACCAATATTTTCCATTTCTGAACCAATGCAAAATATGATAACTTGCCTGGACAAGATTGATCTGTTTCAACAGAAGACTTCATCTTCTATATTTAAAGATGGTATATATATATATATATATATAATTTATATTTATATTATTGAATTTATATATATCAATTGTTACTTCGTAAATTTTATAGATGTCATGCCATTAATTTATAATGCATTGGAAACGAGGGTACCTGCAATTCAAGATAAAGTCCTTAAAGTTATACCCACAATAGCTGATTCGTTAGATATTTCGACTGTTAAAGCTTCATTATTTCCAAGGATTCAGGTGAGGAAATTTTATAGTTTCGTACTTTTTTATTAAGCATATAAGAAAATTATCAATTAATGCTAGTTTTATCATAGAACCTGTTTGTCCATACTACAATATTGTCCATCAAAGTGACTACATTGATTTGCCTTCAATCATTAATTAAATTATTAGATAATGTAAATCAATTCACCTAATAAATTATTTTTCTTTAGCCGAACTTAAATAAACTTAAAATTAATATTAATTAATTACAATTAGTTTACAATAACGGAAAAACTTATACCTTTACTAAAAGGCATCAAGACGAAGGAGCCTTCCGTGATGGTAAGTAATCCTTTGTTGTAATTAATGTATAGAATATAAGTTTTAAAGATTTAATATACTTTTAATATTATAGATGGCTACCCTTACGGTGTATGAAGAAATGGGCAAATCTTCAGAAAAGGATGTTATTGCTACGGAAGTAATACCACAATTGTGGAAGTTATCTGTAGTCCCGACATTAAATCTTCAGCAGGTGTGAGACATTCATTATAGTTTATTAAAAAAAAATTTTTCTTTTGAGATTTTATTTTTATATTAAATTTTAAAATTTTATACAGTTTCAAAAATTTATGAACGTGATCAAGGCATTGTCCATGAAAGTTGAGCAGGACCATTCGCGTCAACTTCAGGACATTAAGAATATTGAAGATAATACAAGAAAGTTTGAAGAAGGAGGGAAAGATAATAATAGGAACAATATTCCCGTTGATTTTGAAAAACTTGTTGGTTCATCTGGAGGAATGATTAATAATAATACAAGAAATAGCATCGGTAATTGTTCTATTGAAATTCCACCTGATCCTTTTGATGCGCCGGGTAATGGATCGATTTCTGGTATAACTGCTTTAGGACCATCTAACATGGTGAGTTTTATTTATTTAAATAAAAAGAGTTTGAAATTAATTTTCTAAAATGACCTTTTAATTTCTAGAATTCGAAAACAAATAATGAACAAATGACACCAACAATTCAAGCTGATTTTTTCACAAGTAATGGAGTCATACCGTTATCATCAAAATCTCGCAATTCATTAAGTTCAACGAACACTTTTATGGGAAGCCAAAATCAGACACTGGCACAATCCATAAATTCATATTCTACCATATCTGCATCACCTTCACTTAATAAAATCCCATCATTACCACCGCCAAATTATTCTTCGAAGGCAGGGACGCTTTCATCAATCTCTACTTCATCATCATCAATTTCATCAAGTCTATTTAATTCAATAGCAACTTCAACACCAATGTCAACTTTTTCACATCAAAATTTTGGTAATTCTAATACAATGAATACGACACGTCCATCATCATTTTCGATGAATAATACCTCATCTTTAAATAATTTATATACATCCAATACTACAAGTTCAACAGCTAATAATTTCAATTCACAAATTAATTCGGTGTCTTTAAATTCTTCATTATCAAATAATGACCAACTTAACCTGATGAAGAACATGAATGCTATACCATCATATAATCCTGGAAGTATACTTCAACCTATAAGTTCATCAAATAAATCAGAGTTTAATAACAATTCAGGTACCAATCAAAAAATAAGCAAGGGAGATTTAACAATGTTTGATCCTTATTCATGAAATGTGTATTTTACTTATTTATATATAATAATATTTAATAAGTAAGGATCTATTTTATTAGGATTGATTTGTTTTATAAAAGAAAAAAATTATATATAATTAATTATTAATAAATACAAAGTTTCATTATATGTTACATTATTTTATATGTAAATAATATATATTTTATAGTTAAAAATAATATAAAGTTTAATTTAAATATTTTCAAAATATTTTTTTTATCAAATCAAACAAAAATGAATTTATAAATAGATTAATTTTTTAATATAATTGCAACCTTAAATTTTTTTTTATTAATATTTATTTTTAATAATAAAATAATATAAATTAGATTTTTTTACTTTTGTTATTTTTATTAAACAAAAAATCATTTTTTTTTATTATATAATTTTAAGTAAAATTTTATCATATATAAATTATATATATTTTTTATTTATATTTCTAATTTTTAAAATATAAAATATTATTATTATAATTAAAATTACTATTTAATAAAAATTTTTAAATATTTTGATTTTAATAATAAATTTAAAACTTTTATTTTTATTATATTATAAATAATTATTTTATTTTATTATTAGATTTAATTGTTCATTTAATTTTAAAATTATCATTTTATTACTTATTATATCTAATAAAATATTTTTTTAAAAAAAAACAAATAATAAAACTAAATTTTATAAAAATTTTTTTGATTATTATTTATATAAAATAAGAATTTATTAAAATTTTAGTTTTATTAGCTTTTATAAATATTTATTTAAAAATAATATTATCTTTTAAATAGTAAATATAAAATTATTTATAAAATATTTTATAAAATTATAATAAATTAATATTTAATAGTTAAATTCAAATGGAATTTAATAAAATTAGTCTAAAGTCAAATTTAATTTAATTATTAATAATTTATACTAGAAGATATAATTAAGTTATGTTTTACTTTTTAATAAATAGATGAAATCTATAAATAGTTAATAATTAATATTTACCTAACTATACAATTAATTGTAGAATTCTGAACTGATTAAATTAAGTTAAAAAATTAAATTTTCTGGTTTAAGTAAGTTAACAATAGAAGAAATTACTTATTGATAAATTTTTATAATAAAAAACAAGTTTTAATTATTTTAAAATAAATTTAATTTTTTAATAATATAATGTATAGATTTATTATTAGTATATTTACATAGTTAGATTTATTTTAAAAAGAAATAAATTTTGATTTTTTGATAATCTATAATATAATATATAGATTTATATTAAATATTTTTTATATAATTAGATTTATTATAAGATAAATTTTTGATTATTTAAACATTTTTAATTTTTTTAATTTATCTAATTAAAGAAATTTATAACATTTAGAATACTTATATAAAAAATCATTAAAATGTATATCATTATATAAATTTTTAAAAAAATTTAATTCTTAAGGAAAACAGTTTAGAATTATGTAATTTAGTTACATAATTTTATTTTTAGAATTTTGTGTAATATCACATAATCTATTCTACTTATATTATTCTTTAAATTATCTAGCAGACAAATTTACCTACGAACTTAAAAAAATGTATTATTTTTTTTAATAAAATATTAAATATTAATTTTAGTAATATAATAATTATATGAAAAATATAGTTT